AAAAAAAAAAAAAAATCTCATTTATAATAGAATTAAAAAGAATAAAAATACTTAGGAATACATTTAACAAAAGAAATAGAAGACCTGGCCAGGCATGGTGGCTCACGCCTATAATCCCAGCACTTTGGGAGGCCAAGGTGAGTGGATCACCTGAGATCAGAAGTTTAAGACCAGCCTGACCAACATAGTGAAAACCCGTCTCTACTAAAAATACAAAAATTAGCCAGGTGTGGTGGCTGCTGCCTGTAATCCCAGCTACTTGGGAGGCTGAGGCAGGAGAATTGCTTGAATTCGGGAGGTGGAGTTTGCAGTGAGCTGAGATCGTGCCACTGCACTCCAGCCTGGTCAACAGAGAGATACTCCATCTCCGGCCTCCCCCCCAAAAAAGGAAAGAACAAAAGAAAGAAAGAAACAAAGAAGGAAGAAGGAAGAAGGAAGGAAGAAAGGAAGGAGGGAAGGAAGGAAGGAAGGAAGGAAGGAAGGAAGGAAGGAAGGAAGGAAGGAAGGAAGGAAGGGAGGGAGGGAGGGAGGGAGGGAGGGAGGGAGGGAGAGACACACAAGACCTGTACACTGAACACTACAAAACATCATCAAAAAAATTGATGATCTAAATAAATGGAAAATTATCCCCTGTTCATCTGTTGGAAGACTTGTATCGTTAAGATGCCAGTACACCCCCAAATTGATGTACAGATTCAATACAATCTCTATCAGAATTCCAGCTGCACTTTTTGCAGAAATTGACAAGTTGATCCTAAAATTCATACGGAAATGCAAGGGACCCAGAATAGCCAAAACAACCTTGAGGGAAAATAAAAGAACAAAGTTGGAAGACTAACATTTCTCCATTCCAAAACTTAGTACAAAGCTACAGTAACCAAGTCTTCTAATTAGAATTCACTGTTCTCTTAAATTCGCAGTCTCTCCTATAGTTCTTATCAAACTTTGCCTCATATCGGAATGATGGCCTCAATGTCTGTCACTCGATTGTAAGTCCCGGCATATGGGATAATGTTATATCTATTCCTGTCACCCTAGCTCAGCACCTTTTATGTAGAAAGAGCTCCATCAGCAATGTTACTTTCAGTCACCTCCCTGTGACCAACCAAGCCTTCTCTCCCAGAGAAGGAAGCTGCCCTGCTTAGGGACATATGACCCATCCCCAAACCGCAGGCTTCCTCATGGACTGCAGGGTTGAGCGAAGAGGGCTCACTAGGAATCCTCTGGGGTTAAATTAATGATACACACATAGAAAACAAATTAAAATCCTGTTAAAACCAGGTGCGGTGACTCATGCTGTAATCCCAGCACTTTGGGAGGCCAAGGCAGGCGGATCACCTAAGGTCAGGAGTTCAAGACCAGCCTAGCCAATATGGTAAAACCCCATCTCTACTAATAGTACAAAAAAATTAGCCGGGTGTGGTGGTGCATGCCTGTAATCCCAGCTACTCGGGAGGCTGAGGCAGGAGAATTGCTTGAATCCAGGAGGTGGAGGTTACAGTGAGCCAAGATAGGGTCAATTTACTCCAGCCTGGGCAACAAGACCGAAACTCCATCTCAAAAAAAAAAATATATATATATATATGCACGTGAAAGAAGCCAGTCACAAAGACCACATTGTGTATTATTCTTTTTCTATGAAATATCCAGAGAAGGCAAATCTATAGAGACCAATGGTGGATCAGCAGTTGTGAGGGGCTGAGGAGGGGAGAATGAGGAGTGCTGCTCCTGGGCAGAGTTTCTTTTTGGGGATGATGGAGATGTTCTGAACATAGTGATAATGGTTGTATGACCTTGTGGGCATACTAGAAACCACTGAACTGTACTTTTTTTTTTTTTAGACCAAGTCTCGCTCTGTCGCCAAGGCTGGAGTGCAGTGCAGTGGTGCAATGTCAGCTCACTGCAACCTCCGCCTCCCGGGTTCAAACGATTCTCATGCTTCAGCCTCCCAAGTAGCTGGGATTACAGATGTGCACCACCACGCCCAGCTAATTTTTGTATTTTTAGTAGAGACAGGATTTCACCATGTTGGCCAGGCTGGTCTCGAACTCCCGATCTCAGGTGATCTACCCGCCTCAGCCTTTCAAAGCGCTGGGATGACGTGCATGAGCCACCAAGCCAGGCCTCTGAACTATACATTTTAAGAGTGTATTTTAGATTATGTGAATTTTATTTCAGTAAAAAAGAAATACACCACTTCAGAAATCCATGTCAGATGGCAGGGAGAGAGAGCTGTGAGCACAACGCCCTTCCCAGTTAATGCCACTTACCTCTACAGAGCACAGCTTCCTAATCACCCTCACTGGCCCTCTGCCACCCACATAGAA